ATCCTGTGGGCAAAGCTCACGGCGGAGCATGTGAGCTGAACCACCGACAAGGAGGCCTTGCGTTGGATGACATACACAAGGTAGAAGCGCGAGGGTCATGTCCGATGCCGGCAAGAACGTTAGGTTGACCTTCGTGCAGAAGGCGCGGAACTTCACCCAGTAAGGCTCGTATGTTCGGATGGTCGAGTCGGCACGAGAGCGGGCGAGCATGGAAAAGCAGGTCATGTGGAGCTTTGGAAGCAGATCTGGGGACAGGCAAGGGAGTCTAGTTAGTCAAATATCACGCGGAGTGCGACGATAGTGCTGTTGGGTAATCCTGTGCCTGAGAATGCTTGACTATGTGTGCGACTGTAAGACACTGGCTGCCGTGTGTAAGAGGGATATGTGCTTGGATGTGTGGGTCCCACGATGGAGGGGAGGGCTGGAGGAGCGGCCACCAGCTTGCGCCAGGCCAGTGTGGGACTATGAGGGTGAGAGATGCGCTCGTGCGTTGTGCGTGATGGAGTACTGCGGGGATGAGTTGGGGCGGTGGGAATGCAAAGCTGTTCTCAGCCGTCCAGGCAAGTGAGAAAGGCGTCGGCTGCTGTGGCATCGGGGTGGGGGACCTTAGAGCAGAAACGCGGCAGGTGTGCATTTTGGGGGTTGGCGAATAGGTCAATGGAAGTGGGGCCCCAGCGACGCTCGAGGAGGCGAAACCATGGGAACTTCAACGAGTAGTCATCGTGGTCGACTAGCTTGGAGAGCTCGTCTGCGCGACCATTCAGATCGCGTGGGATCCATTCGATGATTAGCCGAATCTCGAACTCCATGCATTTTTGGATGATGCCTTTGCACGTGGTGGTGAGGTCGGGACTTCGGGAACCTCCTTTGCGAAGGATGAAGAACACGCCCTGGTTGTCCACCCGCACTAGCACGTGTTTCTTCCGGATTCTAGGCGCGTACGTCTGTAGCGCCCACAGCACGCCGGCGAGCTCTCTTTGTGTGCTGGTAGGTTGGATGAAGGGCTCCGGGCATTGCCGCGCTGGCCTCTATCGCGGCTCCAGGGAATGTGTTCAGCGTGGCACCCCAGCTGTGGGCACTTGCGTCTACGTGGATGACTGCATCGTAGCTGTGCCGCACATGGAATGGGGCACCGTTGAAACGGTCGAACTCTTGGATCCAGAATCTCAGCTCTTCGATGGCGGGTGGGGAGAGGATGACCATGCTGGTCCATGTCGGCGCGTCGTTGATTGTTTCTAGCATGGCGTGGCTGAACGCTCGGGTGGTGGTGCCGAGTGCGACAGCCATCGATGCCAGCATGCCTGTAACTCGGGCCAGTTGCCGGACTGGGACTTTCCGCTGAGCTGAGCTTGCGCGCAGTAGGGCATGGAGGGTGGCGTTGAGTGTGGCTCGCCGCTCCTCGCCGATGGAGAACCGGCCGGCCTGTGTGTCAAGTTCTACGCCAAGGAACCGAAGGTGCTGTGTTGGTATCAGCTTTGACTTTTTTGAGTTGAGTACGAGCCCGGCAGCCTTGAGATCGATAACGATCCGTTGGCACGTGGCTTGAGCGTGTGCCTGGGTCGGGCACAGGAAGAGGATATCGTCCACGTAGGGTATCACGCGGACCCCCTGCTCCCGCCATCGCCGAGCTAATTGCTTGATGAGCTGCGTGAAGACGAATGGTGCTGTGGCGAGGCCGAACGGCAAGGATCGGAAGGCGTATGTGCACCCGTCGAATTCAAAGCCGAGGAACGTCCAGCACGAGGGATGGATGTCGACATGGTGATAGCCTGATTTCAAGTCGATGGAGAACATCCAATCTCCTTGGCGGGCGAGGTCCGCTACCGCGGTTGAGTCCCTCATATTTAAATTTGGGGACGATTATTGCGTCGTTCACCTTCGGAGATCCAAAATCAGGCGACACTTGTCTTTCTGCTCGACCACGTTGAGAGGGCTTATGCATCTCAGTTTCGCCGCAGGAATTTGGATGGCCGCGCCGGTCTCGGTGAGTTCAAGGATGGCCGTGCGCGTGAATGCTTCGTGGGTGCGTGCGCCGGCATGGTTGCGATCGTGAAAGGCCGGCGGCGGCCCGAGTTTCCATGGCATCCAGTATCCTTTGGCAATGACTGAGAGGATGAAACTACTAGTGCACCACGAGCTCCACCAAGCGAACGTGGTACGTAGGCGGCCACGCATTTGGGTGACCATCTTGTCAGTAACCGCGTATTCGTAGGGGTCACTGTTGTGAGCGCATTCGCGAAGTCTGGTGCCTGTGGGAGTGCCATCATGCAAGGAGAAGCAAGGGACGAATACTTGAGTTCATCTGCAGGGCTGATGCCTGCGGAAACCTAGAGCGTGGGGGGGGGGGGGGAGTGTGAAGCCTAGTGGCTGAGGAGGGCGTGCCGGAGTTGAAGTGCCACATGCGAGCAAGATGCTTAGGTCGGTGGTTGCCTGCGCTTTGAGCGGGTCTGAGCGGCGTGACCTGCGTGTGTGTCGGTTTGCACGCCCGCGCATGCGAGCTGCGTTTGAACTGAGCCCCGACGTTTGCTTCCCTTTGTGCCCTCGTATTCCCACAACTTGTGCCTTCACTCGCGCTTCTACTCGCGAACGCATGTTACCCTCTTATTGCCTCCTTCGCTTGCGTTCTCATTTCTTGGTTTTGAGACTCAACGCCCGTGTTTTTTTTTTCTTTTTTTTTTGTCTTTCTTCTAGCCACCTCTTGTGTGCTTGTGTGGCATGCGTGCGGTGTTTTGTTGCTGTTCCCGTTCATGGGCCATACCGCGTGCGTGCGCGCATGCTTATGTGACTCGTTTTTTTTTTTTTTTTTCCAATGCCAAGCTGGGCAGCCCTAGATGAGGCTGGTGTGGCTGTTCCTGTATGCCCACGGAGGGGTAATGCGTAGGGTCCAGGGTGTAGCACACCGGGTTGGAGGGTAGGCGCCTTGTAAGGCTCGCATAATGCTTGAATTCTGTTTTTTTTTTTTTTTTTTTTTTGCATGTCCAATCGGGAGCAACTCTGGGGTCGGGCCGATTGGTGTTCCTGATGGCCTTCCTTCTCTGGCCGGGGGTGCTGCGTGACATGCAGCGGGGTTGAGCCACCCACTATGCTTCCCCGTTCCGTGCTCAACCCCCCCGCCCCCCCCCCTTTTTTTTTTTTTTTTTTTTTTTTTTTTGCTGCGCTCTTATGGTGCTGCTCCCCCATTTCTCTGGTTATATTAGGGGACCAAGACCTGAAAAAAAGAATGAAGGACCGCGGCTCCTTATTTTAACCAAGCTTCATCTCTACTCAACATGCTCCTAGGCATGCAAAGTCCGCCTTGCAAGGTCGGGCTATCATTTGGACCGAGGGGGTATGTTCCCCTTCCCTTGCTCTTGGCCTAGGCCTTCGATTGGCCTACACTAGGGCTGGCCCTCTGCCACCCATGCCCCTAAGGGGTGGGCCCAATGGCCTACGCACACACCGGGTGCCTTGCGCCTTGCGCCACTTGCGCCAATCGCCATGGCCCGACCCCTACACCACTGGCGCGGGTCCTTGGCCACCATGCCCAATCGCCGGGCAGCCGCTGGCCACATGCCCGGCTGGCCACAGCGGAAGCAAGTGCCTCGGAAGCCACGGAATTCTCCCGTAGGCGGCGGACCACGCTTTGGCACGAACGGCATGGGCATGCGGCCGCCTCCGCGATTTCCACGAGCAAACCCGCCCTCGGCGCGGTCCATTGCGGCCACGTCAGCGACGGCCTGCTTGAAAGGCCTTGAGGTAAGCAGACTCTTCTGCTGGTACAGCTTGAAACGCTTGGCCGTGCGGAAGTCGGAGGCGTCTTCGACTTGGAGAACTTCGAAGCGTCGCGATATGAGGCGAGCGCGTCGGCGAGGAATTCGAGGCCGCCGGCGCGTCGCCGTGCTGCACCTTGAACTCGGCGTGCTTCAGGTATGCCCGAAGGTCCTCCAGGACTTCGCTTGCTCGCGCACGGCCGCGTTGAGGAAAGACGCCGCCGAGAGGGTGGTGTTAGTGGACGGGATGGTGGGAGGTGGCTCCATGGGATTGATATTGCAGCAGTGCCAGGGGACCTCACCAGCGTCATTGTCGGAGTCGTCGCTGTCGTTGTCGGCCGCCGGGGCAGGCGGGATGCTGGCGACGCGTCTTGGCGAGGCGGCGTCTTGGTTCCGCGTGTGGCCTTTTCTGTTTTTGCAGGTTCTTTTTTAGCAGATTCAGAAGCAGCAGGTTGAGCAGTTCGGCGGCCGTAACACTCGTCGCCTGCTGCTGTAACAGCGTTCAACAGCGCGTTGACCTGCGCAGGGTCAACGACGGGGTCAATGTCGGGGTGGGCGGCACGTCAGACGAGGCAGCCGCGCGCCCCCCTTTTTCGCTGGCGAGAAGGACCCGCCACTTGCGGGGCTGGCGCGTGCTGCTGCTCGGCGTCAGGCGCGAGTGGCTGGCTCTGCCAGCCACTTGCGCGTGTGGCTCAGAAGGGGGCGGGGGCGCGTCAGCAGGCTGATCTGTTTGACCTCGCCCCCTCCCAGCAGAACGTCAACCCCAGTTGGGGCGGCCGCCCCTTCTTCTGCCCGACGCTTGTTGCGCCGGTCGCCGCAATTTCCGGGGCTTGGCGAGTAGACTCGGAATTGGGGTGGCCGGTGACGACGTTGGACTCGCCGCGATTATTCGTAGTCGGAGCCATGACGGATCGGTGAAACTTAAAAATGTCGGAGAGAAGAGTCGAGGGAGACTCGCCGCGAGGCAAAGTTCTAGTCTTAGCCAGCTTGAACGGGAGAAGCTAGAGCGGGAAAGTTGACTGAGCCGTTTGAAAAATGAGAGACGTGGGTGGAGGTAAATGAGCTCCAACCCACGTATATGTAGTTGGAGAAGGGCGAGTAGCGCGCTTCGACGATGCCCAACGCTTCAGTACAATCAGCTTCGCTTTCACAATACACAATTTTTGAAAAACACTACGTGTGTTAAAAATTATGACATGTTAGTGCTTTGTGCCTGTTATTTGGGCTTACCATGTTTCAGTATTGTAAAAACTGCATGGCGCTTGGATGGGGGCACTGCGATCGCATAAAGACCGCCACTACAAGGAAACAGCCAATTAGACGTGGTGTCTTCAGTTCACTTTGAGAGTAGCCTCCGGATGAGTGTCCCATTGGGGGAATAAAAAGTTGGTGCTTACATCCGAGTGGTCCAGGAATAATGATGTGACTACAATGATTACCATGATGACCTTCGAGTCAGCTGATTCTTTTTCGGTGTGGATCAAGTGTGTGTGGCTCCGCAATGGCCTGCTCTATCATAGTGTGCAGTCGTCGCGTGCCCTCGTCCCTCAGTTGCGACCTGTAATGCGCCTTGAGAAGCATCTTATGAACATCCACCTCTGCACACGGGAAGTACCACAGACGAATCGTGTAACCGCAGTCGTATGCCACGAGCTGCTTGCCGCGCTGGTAACCAGCATCCAGCCCCACCTCTCTGTGGCACCCACACTGCCCCTTGTCCACCGCTCTCTCCCCCTCGCCATCGCCCCCCGCATCGCCATCGTCGTCGTCATCATCTATCTCCGGCAGCCCGGCTACTCCCACCACACTTTCCCCTCCCCGCACTTCCTCCTCCACGCGCCCTTGCTGTCCCTCCTCATGCTGCTGCCCTTCCTGCTCACCCTGCGCTTGTTGCAGCGCGGCCTGCCTCTCCTGCTCGGCCTGTACCTGCCACATGCGGAAGTGCTTCTTCCTGAACCGGCCCGACCCACACACGCGCGCCAGCAGCTCCATCTTGTTGTCCCGCCCGTACCCCAGGCCTGCCGCCGCAGGGGACGTGGCAAAGAGGGACGTGGCAAAGAGGGGACGTGGCAAAGAGGGGACGTGGCAAAGAGGGGACGATGGATAAAATGGTGAAGCGAAGAGGCACGGATGCAGTCACCATGGAATGGCTTAATGTCGGAATGAAGGAGCTCATGAGTGGGTGCATGTACGCGTGCCGTCTGTCGCAAACCATAGAAATTGGTCACCTGCCTCTCGTGCAATGAGGGGTGCAGCAGAGCCTGTTGAGCCGAATGGCCCACACACACCAGAGGGCCGACTCTCACCTGGCTGGTAGCGGTGCGGCGAGTCCCCCCTGAACGCCACCTGGCTCTCGTGCAGGTGGGGGGCGAAGCGGCGCAGGTGGAGGAACAGAGACGAGGCGTTGAGCCACGAGGGGTCCTGCGCCTGGTGCACGCGGTACATGGGCACCTGCAGGCGGGCGCATAGCGTGTGCATGGCGTGTGGGCATAGGCATCACGCACGGGTCAAATCAGCCACGTAGGGTTGAGCCAGAGTGGGGCTGCGGCCGGCACGCATGGTACATGCACCTGGGTTGGGGATGGGGCAGGGCTCATGAGGCATGGGGAATGGGTGTTGGAAATGGGCACAAAGACTATCTCAATGCACACCTTGAGCACCTTGAGCACCTTGAGCACCTTGAGCACCTTGAGCACCTTGAGCACCTTGAACACCTTGAACACCTCAAAGCATGCGTGCTCCAGGGTTTAGTGCAGGAATATATGATAAGGCCCACCCAAATCTTGACCCCCAATTGTTGAGGGATCAAGCCAACCACTATTGCCTACCCAATAATGTTGGTCAGCCAAGCCAACCGATACTGGCTCAACCAAGAATGATGGAGTTGCTGGGAGCCCACGCCACCTGGGGTTCCACGCCATGCAGAGCCCACTGCTCTTTTGCGCCTCTGCCAATTCTTTCAATCGTTTCAGCGCCTCAGGTCAACGCCCAAAGGTTCCTGGCCTTGTTGCAGTAGTTTGCATTTTTGCAAAGGCCTTGGGGTCAACTGACGCTGACCCCTCCCCGTCACCCTTGGCCTGCTCCGTGTGGCTCACTCTCACCGCTCCAGCGCGCCCGTCACTCACCTCCCCTTGCGACGGCCTTCCACAGCCCCCCACAAGCGCCTTGCCAATGCCTTCCACAGCCCCCCACAAGCGCCTTGCAATGCCTTCCACAGCCCCCCACAAGCTCCTTGCAATGCCTTCTCATCCGTCGCCTCCGCATCGCTTTCGCCTGCATCCCCCCCCACCTCTTCTCCCCCCTTCCCCCCCCCCCCTCTCACCCTCTCCCCTCTGCCGTCTCGCACATCGCACGGCCTGCTCTGCCCGCCGTTGCGAGTGTTGCGCGACTACACCTCTGGTCGTTGAGAGCTCCGCGCAGCAGACAACTGCAGCGGACAACAGCAGTGGTAGCAGATGGCAACAGCAGGCAGCAAGAGTCCGCAGCAGCTGTCGGCAGCAGCGGGGATCAGCAGTGATAGCAGTAGCGGCAAAGGGTGGTCCCAGTCATCCCCGGTCAATACTGGAACCGCCATCCGCCTTCAGGTCCTTGGTGGCACAACGGAGGTGTTCTGCCACGCCTTCGCCCCCAGCCTCACCAGCGCCATCTGCCTCAGCAGCGCCGTCAGCCTCACCAGCGCCGTGAGCTCGGGGATTGTGAGCGAATGTAGCCTGCATGCCAGTGCCTTTCATGAGCCGCACCGCCTCAACCTCGCCTCACTGCCAATTTCGTTTGACAATATTCCCTGCTCAAATCAAGCAGGTTGCCACTCGCATCCTGGCAGCGGAGGCCACGCTCGCTGGCCAGTCCTCCTCCCTTGGGCCAGCGCAGTGACGTGGCGGTCCTGGCAGTCGTGGGGGTCGTCCATGGCTGCTGCGGTGGAGGCAGTTGTCCCCAGAGCGGACTCAGCAGTCCCTGGGCGCGTAACTCCACTGTCAATACCTCGTCCACTATAACCCCAGCAAAGGGCAGCAGTACAAGCAGATAACTCATCCCAGTGATGCCTGCTTCAGGACCCTTGAAAGGTTAATGGCTTGCTGCAAGTAACGGTGGCACCCCTCCTCGCTGCTCGACTGTCATCCCACGATCTGCCCGCATGGATGTTCGCTGTTGGCTCAACTTCACCACACCCTGGCCCACAGCTGGCCTCCCCGCCTCCTCCAGCCAATCACGCGCCTTCCCTCTTAGCGCTGAGTCTTCCACCGGGGTTCCCTGAGCACCTGTGGCAACAGCAGCAGCAGCCGGGTTCCAAGGCCCGCGCCACCCGCCGCCACCAGTTCTCTGGTCGGCAGCAGCAGCAGGCAGAGTCCAGGGGGTCCGCCTCAGTCCATGCAGCAGCAGAGTCACCAGCAGCAGCAGCCGCATCAGCTATTCTATTCCCCAGTTAACCCCTCCACCCCGGGTTCCTCTGTTGGCCTGCTCCTCCCCTCTCCCTCGAGCAGCTTCCCACGGCAGCTCAGTAAGGCCCCCAACTATTGGTCATGCTTCCCTGCACGCTGCAAAGCTCATTCCAATACTGTGCGTCAATCCTCCGTGCCCCTTCCCTCCGTCACCTGGCCCCCACCATGGTCTTGGTCATTGCCATTGGAGCCACTGCCACTGTCCCCCGTGACGCCATCACCCTTCATTCCCGCCCCACCCATCCTCCTATCCTCCGTGCGGACGCTAGCTACACTATCCCCTGCTGTGACTCCTCCACCGTCCCTGCACCTGTCTCCTCTGCCACTGTCACACGTCCCCACATTCCCACCCGTTGTACTAACCTTCTCTCCCACCTAGCTGAAGACACCCCAAACTTCTAACTATTTCCCCATTCCTCTCCCCCCAGTGACCAGCATCCAGAGCAAGACCAAGCACGCCCCTCACTCGAGGAAACCGTCATTTGCTTCGGCTCTGGTTGACCTTGTACACATGGCTCTATGGGGTATCCTAACCCATCCCCGGCTCGCTTGGGTCAATCGCAATCTCCTCGTCCTGGTCGAGGGCTTCGATCGGTATACTTGCGTCTCCCTTGCCTCAAGGCGGCGGCTGAAGCTGAGAGGTCATAGTATGTGCCGAGGAGGGGTCGAGCCATTTGAGATTCTAAAACATGACTCCACTTTGGTCGCCTTGTTGGTTGCTTTCACTCCGATGGTGGCGAGCTTCTCACAATGAAGAAAATGTTATAAGCACAATAGGCTCAGATGTGCCTAAAATGAGAGAAATCGTGCACAGTTAGAATTCCGTCAGACAGCTTCAAATATTGATGCCGAACTGATCTGTGCCTCAAACGGTGATCTGTAAATTGGATCTGGAGCGCGTTGCTGTCGCCTATCAGCAGCAAGTTGAATCATAAAATTCCATGAAGATTTGACGACGCTATGGCGGTTGACTAGCATGAGGTATAGCAGCCACTATAGTCTTGGAAGTACAAACTTAGCAAGAAGAGTTCGAGAGGGAGATGGTTCCCAGCCTCTACATACCCCAAGAGCCGAGGTCTAGGTTGGTGGTACACCACCACACAGTCCCCAACCATGAAGAGTCTCGAAACAAACCCTCCAAAGGGCTACACCAAGTGAAATGTAACACTACACGAAGTAGCGTTACTATTTTCACTACTTAATATTTATCCGTGTCCCTTGGGCTTGAAATCTTGAGCTCTTGGTCTTGGTTCTGCAAGATAAATTCTTCTTGAGTTGATGGGGGCTTTCTGCACACACCTGCGACGCGATGGACACTTCACACTCGACAAAATAGAAAAAACACATGCCACACGCAAACGACGACTTGACGTGCGAGTTGTGAAAACTCGCTAATGTCTTGACCGACACAAACCACATTGTCATACACCATTCAAACACACACACAAGCACTAGATAGCAATGACATAGACTCACAAGTCATTCCATGCCATGCATGCACACACACAAACAAGGATGACAAGCCGAGTGCAAGCCATAGGGTTGCACCAACAGAAAATATGGGTTTGACCCGCAGCAAGCCACAGAGTAGTCTCTTAGACCAGGTACTAAACTAAGCTAAGGAGCAAGAAAGGTAACGGAAATTCGTGACTAGTAAGGAAACCCAAACAATGAGTCCAGATGCGCGTGTACGCGTTTTGGCGAAAGAGCCTTGAACGATGGTGGCGAGTTCCGCAATCACCACCTCTCCTCCTAGTGTGCCTCTCGTGGCATCCGCCACAGCATCACCCTCCCTCACTCCCCCCAGCAGAACGGTATTTGACGATGTCTTCGCTCACGAGCCGATTGCTGACCTTCTCAGGCGAAACGCGGCCCCAATCTATGCGCATGGCCCACCTCTCACTCTTAACCATTGGCCCATCCTCCTCTCCTCATTTAACCGTTGCTGCCCTTCCATCACTCACGCGCTATCTCTACACGATAACGGCTGTGTATGTATAACGCATGAATGGTCCGATTTTGTATCCTATGGAACGAGTTTCGAATCTGAATACGAGTGCTTTAGACGAGTAAATAGCGAGCAACATGCTGGAGTCGTATTCGTTTGAGTATCTCATTCCAGTCAGACTGAGTAGCACTCATACTGGAGGGAAGATAATATGTGCAAAAATACTAGAGTCTTTGTATAGATAAGGTGGCAAAAAGAAAACGAGTAGTACTGGCGAGTACTCGAGTACTCTAAATCCGAGTAGTAGGCAAATATCAACTGCTACTCGCCTCGTTTCGTTTCTAAAACGAATACACCTGTTCTCCTATTTAGTCCCACGGTTTTTGCAAGCAGCTCGAGCCTGTAAGCAGAAAACGGTCAAACCCGGGCAAAGGGGACATTAAGGGGAAAATCCACGGTACCCACTGTCACTTGGTTACATAATCTCGCTCATGTACTAGAGAAGATGCCTGCGCGACGTCCCAGCTCTGAAATTCGCAATTGTCGAAATCTGACTTGACTGTTCGCTATCGTTCAGACTGCAGCAAATCAGGTTCACTGTCAACGCGAGTCACGCTGAGAGCATGGTTGGTTAGTTTGGAATTTGGACTGTTTCGGGTAGGACCAAAAAGGAGAACAGGTGTACGGAAACGAGTACCACTCGTTTTTCATGTACTCGTTTTCAAGCTTACAGGTTCTGAGTGTAGGAGTACATGCGTAGACCAATCCAACCCCAGACCCCAGTGGTTGGAGGGTCAAAGCAACCATTATTGGCTTCCCAAGGACGGTGGCCACACCAACCAAGATTGGCCCTCCAATAGTGTTGGTCGGCCTACACCTATGTTGGAAAATACGCGTACTGCGTTTTATACGCTAGCGTATATACGCTTGCGTATATACGCTATACGCTTGGATTTGGGGTCCAATACGGCAGGAATACGCATGCCCGGGCAGGAAAAAAGGTTTGCCCGGGCAGGGTAACAAAACCAGGGGGCAGCAAGGAAGCCATGATGGTAGCGGCTAGGCTAGGGTTTCTGAAAACGTGACTCTCAAATGAGAGGCATTTTCTGAGGGGTCGAATTTTGACCTGCCAATTCCCTCCCTTTCACCGCACTCAACCCCCCCGTCTACAAAGTCAAATTGGCTTCCAGCCAACCAACTCCCTCCCTTTCACCGCACTGAACTCCCACCCATCTACAAACTCCAACCTTTCCTCACAAATGCTCGACTCTCCCCCCCATCATCTCCCCCATCACTTTGGTAGAAGACTAACAAGCACCGTAACTCGCGCAATCGCCGCCACCTAGCTAAGCACACCACCGTTTCGCTTCAGAGCTGAGATTTGGACGGAAATGGGGAACGGCAAACACGGGATGGCTTTCAATCACGTACAGAGCAGGCTGGGCTATGGGCAAAAAAGAATGGGCGAAAAAACCGCGACGTCGCGAAGTCGCGGAAAAAAAAAATATAAGTTTTTTTTTCGCCGGGCAGCCCGGGTATCGCGTATCGCGTATTCCAAGCGTATCAGCGTATTGCGTATATTCGCAAGCGTATATACGCAATACGCAAAGCCTTCTGTGCGTATATTCCAACATAGGCCTACACAGTGTTTCAGGCCACGTACAGCCCATGTTTTTGTCTTGAGCTAATCTTAAACTCTCGCCTTCGATTCTCCTAGCTTGACTAGGATTGTCTTCAACAGACCTTGAACACCGTAAGCCCCTGTATCTCATGCCTGGAAGGAACTTAGCAGCACCAAGAGCCCTTGAGCGTACCTTGAACACGTTAAAGCCCTCCTTGTCATGCCTGTGAGTCGCTGCTATAAGCCCTTCAACGAGCGCACCTTGAACACCTTAAGGCCCCTCTTCTCGTGGCGGTCAGCCGCCTGCACTATGAGGCGCCACGCCTCCTCCGTGACAAACTGGTTGCCGTCGAACGCCAGCACCCACTGCGCGCCCTCCCGCCGCCCGTGCTCCAACATGAAATTGCGCGCCTCGTTCTGCGCTGGGGGGGGTTGGACGGGGGCGGGGAGGGGGGGGAGAGTGGGAAGAGAGGGGCGCACAAGAGAAGAGTTGAAGTGCATAGCCCTATGAAATAGAAGTTTCCTTGTCAAGGATGTGACTGCATGAGCGTTATAGCATCAAGCACAGTTATGCAAGCATGAGACTACACCAAAGCATGCAACATGCTATTGGTTAGTTACGAGTGAAAGAGTGTTACCGGTGACGGCAATGGTCCACAGCGAGGGGTCGAGAGTGGCGATGAGGGAAAGATTGAGCGCGCGAATGAGAATGTCCTGAGGGGGAGGGGCGTAGTGTGGTGCACGGGTTATACAAGGGGTGGTGGGAGATAAAGAATGGGAATGTGTGAGGTGAGACCATAGGATGGAATGAGATAAGCTGGGAGAGTAAGATGGTGAGAAAGATGGCGCAATAGGAAGGGGCCGCATGGTACAAATTGCCATGCATCACGACACATAAGCACATGATGAAACCACAATAGATGCAAGGAAAACACAAGAAGCCCATCCTCCCATCCAGCAGCACCCATGCATGCAGAACACGTGCATGCAGAACATGTGCATGCAGAACACGTGCATGCAGAACACATGCATGCAGAACACGTGCATGCAGAACACGTGCCTGCAGAACACGTGCATGCAGAACACGTGCATGCAGAACACATGCATGCAGAACACGTGCATGCAGAACAAGTGCATGCAGAACACGTGCCTCGCCTTTGGCCGCCCGATCCCTCACCACCTGCACGGCAGCCCTCAGCGCGCTTCCATGCACCACCCACAGCCGCCCACGTGGCTTACCACCCACAGGCGCTGCCCCGTTTCCCTCCGCACTCACTTGACCACCTTGTCTTGTCCTCCCCACCTCCCTACGAGAGTGCACCGCAGCCACCAGCGCGCTGTCATCCACCGCATGGCTCCCACAGCCGTAGATCCCCTCGTCCGCCCACCCCCAGCCCCAGCACACATCTCGTCCGCCAGCCCCCAGCACGCACCTCGTCCCCCAGCACACACCTCGTCCCCCAGCACACACCTCGTCCGCCAGCACACACCTCGTCCGCCAGCACACACCTCGTCCGCCACCCCCGCCAGCACACACCTCGTCCGCCAGCACACACCTCGTCCGCCAGCACACACCTCGTCCGCCAGCACACACCTCGTCCGCCAGCACACACCTCGTCCGCCAGCACACACCTCGTCCGCCAGCACACACCTCGTCCGCCAGCACACACCTCGTCCGCCCAGCACACACACCTCGTCCGCCCAGCACACACCTCGTCCGCCAGCACACACCTCGTCCGCCAGCACACACACCTCGTCCGCCAGCACACACCTCGTCCACCAGCACACACCTCGTCCGCCAGCACACACCTCGTCCGCCAGCACGCACCTCGTCCGCCAGCACACACCTCGTCCGCCAGCACACACCTCGTCCGCCAGCACACACCTCGTCCGCCAGCACACACCTCGTCCGCCAGCACACACCTCGTCCCCGCCCAGCACACACCTCGTCCGCCAGCACACACCTCGTCCGCCAGCACACACCTCGTCCGCCAGCACACACCTCGTCCGCCAGCACACACCCTCGTCCGCCAGCACACACCTCGTCCGCCAGCACGCACCTCGTCCGCCAGCACACACCTCGTCCGCCAGCACACACCTCGTCCGCCAGCACACACCTCGTCCGCCAGCACACACCTCGTCCGCCAGCACACACCTCGTCCGCCAGCACACACCTCGTCCACCAGCACACACCTCGTCCGCCAGCACACACCTCGTCCGCCAGCACGCACCTCGTCCGCCAGCACACACCTCGTCCGCCAGCACACACCTCGTCCGCCAGCACACACCTCGTCCGCCAGCACACACCTCGTCCGCCAGCACACACCTCGTCCCCCAGCACACACCTCGTCCGCCAGCACACACCTCGTCCCCCAGCACACACCTCGTCCGCCAGCACACACCTCGTCCGCCAGCACACACCTCGTCCGCCAGCACACACCTCGTCCGCCAGCACACACCTCGTCCACCAGCACACACCTCGTCCGCCAGCACACACCTCGTCCGCCAGCACGCACCTCGTCCGCCAGCACACACCTCGTCCGCCAGCACACACCTCGTCCGCCAGCACACACCTCGTCCGCCAGCACACACCTCGTCCGCCAGCACACACCTCGTCCCCCAGCACACACCTCGTCCGCCAGCACACACCTCGTCCGCCAGCACACACCTCGTCCGCCAGCACACACCTCGTCCGCCAGCACACACCTCGTCCCCCAGCACACACCTCGTCCGCCAGCACACACCTCGTCCGCCAGCACACACCTCGTCCGCCAGCACACACCTCGTCCGCCAGCACACACCTCGTCCGCCAGCACACACCTCGTCCGCCAGCACACACCTCGTCCGCCAGCACACACCTCGTCCACCAGCACACACCTCGTCCGCCAGCACACACCTCGTCCGCCAGCACGCACCTCGTCCGCCAGCACACACCTCGTCCGCCAGCACGCACCTCGTCCGCCAGCACACACCTCGTCCGCCAGCACACACCTCGTCCGCCAGCACACACCTCGTCCGCCAGCACACACCTCATCCGCCAGCACACACCTCGTCCGCCAGCACACACCTCGTCCGCCAGCACACACCTCGTCCGCCAGCACGCACCTCGTCCGCCAGCACACACCTCGTCCGCCAGCACACACCACGTCCGCCAGCACACACCTCGTCCCCCAGCACGCCCCTGGTCCCCTGGCAGTGCGCACCTCGTCATTGAACCCGTGGTCCCTCATGATCTGGACGGTGGCGGCCTGCCACCCAGAGGCGAAGAGCCTTCTCTTCCCCCCCTCGCCCCCCTTCGCCCCTCGCCCCTCGCCCCTCGCCCCTCGCCCCTCGCCCCTCGCCCCTCGCCCCTCGCCCCTCGCCCCTCGCCCCTCGCCCCTCGCCCCTCGCCCCTCGCCCCTCGCCCCTCGCCCCTCGCCCCTCGCCCCTCGCCCCTCGCCCCTCGCCCCTCGCCCCTCGCCCCTCGCCCCTCGCCCCTCGCCCCTCGCCCCTCGCCCCTCGCCCCTCGCCCCTCGCCCCTCGCCCCTCGCCCCTCGCCCCTCGCCCCTCGCCCCTCGCCCCTCGCCCCTCGCCCCTCGCCCCTCGCCCCTCACCCCTCGCCCCTCACCCCCCGCCACGCACCTGGTCGTTGACGCCATGGTCCTTGAGCGCCTTGACGGTGGCGGCCTGCGTGGTGGCGTTGACGAGGTGGTTGAGCACCCAGAGGCGGCGGCAGCCCGGCAGGTGGGGGGGCTCGTGCTGCAGCGAGTAGAGCGTGTTGCGCAGCAGCTGCTCCCCGCACTGCAGCGGCGCCATGTCGTTGCCCAGCAGCCGGTACAGCAAGAATCGCGCGCGCGCACGTTGGGTGGAAGGGGAAAGGGCGAGCGGAGGCGAGGGGGAGAAGGGGGTTGATGAGGAATTGGAGACGACGGGGGAGGCGGGGAGCGAGGAGGGGGAGAGAGCGGGGAGCAGTGAGGAGGAAGGGGGTGGAGGATGGAGGGGAGAGGAAGGTGGTGATGAGGGAGGTGCAAGCGAGAGGGTGGAATGTGGGGGAGAGGGTGCGAGCAGGGGTGGGGGGGGCCGAGGGGAGGCTGGCCGGGTGAGAGGGGTTGTGGGGCGGAGGGGCGTGGTGCCTTGAGTGGCCTCTGCCTCTGCGTCAACACCCCTCCCACCATCCTTGCTTTCCCCGCCACCGGCACTGCTGTCACTGTCTCCTGCATCACTGGCCGCACTGCCGAGATTTGACTGCGCCTCATCTGCACGTGCACGTGCCACCCCTCGTCCCGCTTGCACGCCGCCCTCCTCTTTCACCTCCTCGTCTTCTCCCGCCCCTTCCTCCCCTGTCTCCCACGCTCTCTCCTCACTCCATTCTCCTGCATTCCTCTCCCTCTCTACCGCCTCCTCCCCCCTCCACTCTCCTTCCTTCTCCCCCACTTCCCCGTCCGCCATCTCCGCTCTGCCCACAATTCCGTTCCCCGCGCCGTCGCCTGCCTCTACCTCTCCGCGCGTCCATTCCTCTCCGCCCACCTCCTTTCCGCCGCCCGCCTCGTCCTCTTCCCCCAGTTCCCTCGTGCTGCGCGCGCGCGGGGCAGCGCAGGGGCTGAAGGCCGGCGCAAGGGGCGCGGGGAGCGTGAGGAGCGTGAGCGCGAGGGTGTAGAGCAGGCAGAGAGCGGCTGCGCGCTTGAGCGCGCGCGGGGGCGAGAGGCGGCGGCGGAGGGCGTAGTGGAGGGCGACGAGGGCGAGGCAGAGAGAGGAGAGCACGCCGAGCACGAGGAGAGGGGGCAGCAGTGCGCAGGAGGGAGGGGGAGCGGCGGGCATTGCGCGCGTGCGGAGGGGGAAAGCGGGGAGGGTGATCGGAGGGAAGAGCTGAGCGCGCGGACAAGGCTGGCGTTTGTTCCGCGATGCAACGTGCCGCCGTGGGTTGCAAGGTGAAGCCGTGGATTGCATCATTTGAGACCATGTGCGAGGGTGCACTGCACCTCGTGTATGAGCTTGCTCCGGACATTCTCACATGTCGTTGTCTAGCTTGCGTGTTCTTTTGTGTGAGCTGTCAATTGCTGCAAGCACTTCTGCTCATGCAAAAGAATGGGATAAAAGCACTGCACTTCCACGCTCTCTTTATACACAAGCTATATTACAAGCCAGCAAGCACAGCACAGCCCAGTGCAGCTCGTGCCTGGCCTACCCGCTCCTCCCATGGATGGAGCGCCATGTGCGCGCCTTCTCAAACCCGTTCGCCCCATTCCGGTAGTCACTCATGGCCTGCCGGATCTCCGCCTCTGTGTTCATCACAAACGGCCCGTGCTGCACCACCGCCTCGCCTATGGGCCGCCCCGCTATCAGCACGAAGCGGCATTCCTCCTCCCCCTTGTTCCACACGTACACACCGTCCCCCGCCCCCAGCACCACGGTGTGGTGCGCGCCCGCGGGCTCTGCATCTGCATCCCCGATGGTGGTTTCCCCCGAGAGCGTGTAGATGAACGCGTTCCACCCGGCGGGGATGGGCTGCGCGAGGTGCGCGGCGGGGGCGAGGCGGAAGGCGAGGTAGGAGGTGGGCGTGCGCGTGACCACGGGCGAGGACACGCCCAGCGCCGAGCCCGCGATGACGGCCACGTGCACGCCATCGCGGCACGCCTTGGGGATGTCGGCATCCTTCAACTCCTGGTACGCTGATGGCACCCTGGAGAGGGGGGGTGGGGAGAGGCAAGGCGAAGGCGGTTCAGGCGAGGCAGAAAAGCGGGATGCGGTATGAACCCCAAGAGCACAGGCAGCGCAGGTGCCAGAACCCAAGTGATCAGCACATGACGTGGTGGCGGGGGGTGGGCACGCACAACAAACAGCTGCCGCCAATCCCTCTAACTCCAGCACACCATGGCATGGTGCAGGCGCACAGCACACCATGGCATGGTGCAGGCGCACGACGCACATCCCCAACAGCACAGAGGGAAACAAAGCGCGGGCTCATGCTGTAGTGCAGCCCACCATTTCGTGTCACTCACACTTGTGCTGATGAGGGCGACACAGAGGCACATGCCAACACACTGGCATGTTGACATGAGTGGAAACATGGGCACGTGTCAGCGCACTCACATCTTGTCCCCAGCACTCACATCTTGTCTTTGGCCGCCAGGTTGACCCACAGCTGCAGCCCGTGGGTTGGCCCCTCGCCAGGCATTTCAGAGTGCACCACGCCCCTGCCAGCTGTCATCCACTGATTCGACGGATTATGGGAGAAAGGGAGGGAACGGGAGGAAGGAATGCGATTGGTTTATAGTTGGAGAGGCTTAGGGTGGCGCTGGTACGACGGTAGAGGGACAACACACGAGGCATGGAAAGCAGCAGAGCACTGTTGGCAAGCAGCAAGGTGAGTGAGGAAGGAGAGTGTGCGTTGATTGAGGAAAGGCGCACACAGAGGCCAGTTTAGCATGACCAGCTCAATCCATCACAGGCAAACTCACCGCCCCACCTGTCGTCACATGCTCCCATCACCCACCACCCATAACCACGCACTACCACACAGCACCCACCTGCACGTCGCCTGCATGCAGCTGGCCCTTGTGGCCGTTAAAGTCCTCGTGCACGAACGAGCCCTGCTCACGTGGCATGCCGGGGGGCGTCATCGGGAAGGGATAGTGAGAGGGCGGTTATGAGGAGGTGCCACTGACAACAATAAGAACATACTTTTTGAGAGCCCATGGAAAGAGTTGTGGTGACGGCAAAGGGTGCCAATGAGGATTGCCGCGATGGCAGGGCGTGGCGGCTGGAACGCCACCCACCTGAATGAGGTACGAGACCCACCTGAATGAGGTAGGAGACCCACCTGAATGAGGTACGAGACCCACCTGAATGAGGTAGGAGACCCACCTGAATGAGGTACGAGACCCACCTGAATGAGGTACGAGATCCACCTGAATGAGGTACGAGACCCACCTGAATGAGGTACGAGACCCACCTGAATGAGGTACGAGACGGTCTCAAAGCCTCGGTGCGGGTGATCCGGGAAGCCCGCAGCCGAGTCAGAGGCTGCCATGCAGCACACCGGAGCACGGGGGAAGGCGGGGGTTTGGGGGGGGGGGGGGGTGGGGGGGGAAGAAGAGGGGGACGCAATTGAGGGGAGAGGAATAAGGGGGAAGGAGAGTGGAAAGCAGAGCGTGTGAAGGAGCGTAAAATTCGGCACAGTTTGTGTTGAATTCACCGTGAACGGCATGAGCCTCGTTGCTGAGCGCGTGCGAGTCGTGCCTTGTCGCGCATGCCGCGCAGCGCGTAGCGTGCGGCATGCGGGGAGGCGGGGTGTGCGGCGCACCTTCGAACTCGTCGAGCATGAGGAACGGGTCCAACTGCCGCAGCTCGGGCCTGCTCCCGGCGCCATGCGCCCGCCGCCGTGCACGGGTGGGCGGGGGGAAGAGGGGAAGGGGAAAGGGGAAGGGGAAAGGGGAAGGGGAAAGGGGAAGGGGAAAGGGGAAGGGGAAAGGGGAAGGGGAAAGGGGAAGGGGAAAGGGGAAGGGGAAAGGGGAAGGGGAAAGGGGAAGGGGAAAGGGGAAGGGGAAAGGGGAAGGGGAAAGGGGAAGGGGAAAGGGGAAGGGGAAAGGGGAAGGGGAAAGGGGAAGGGGAAAGGGGAAGGGGAAAGGGGAAGGGGAAAGGGGAAGGGGAAAGGGGAAGGGGAAAGGGGAAGGGGAAAGGGGAAGGGGAAAGGGGAAGGGGAAAGGGGAAGGGGAAAGGGGAAGGGGAAAGGTGAAGGGGAAAGGGGAAGGGGAAAGGGGAAGGGGAAAGGGGAAGGGGAAAGGGGAAGGGGAAAGGGGAAGGGGAAAGGGGGTACTCGAGAAGTGAGGGGTGTGGGCAAGCAGGGAGTAAGGCGAGGGAAGGGCGGTGCAGGAGGCGAGTAGAAAGCAGGGATAAGAGGGGCAAGGGACGGCAGGGATAAGAGGGGCAAGGGACGGCAGGGATAAGAGGGGCAAGGGACGGCAGGGATAAGAGGGGCAAGGGACGGCAGGGATAAGAGGGGCAAGGGACGGCAGGGATAAGAGGGGCAAGGGACGGCAGGGATAAGAGGGGCAAGGGACGGCAGGGATAAGAGGGGCAAGGGACGGCAGGGATAAGAGGGGCAAGGGACGGCAGGGATAAGAGGGGCAAGGGACGGCAGGGATAAGAGGGGCAAGGGACGGCAGGGATAAGAGGGGCAAGGGACGGCAGGGATAAGAGGGGCAAGGGACGGCAGGGATAAGAGCGGCAAGGGACGGCAGGGATAAGAGGGGCAAGGGACGGCAGGGATAAGAGGGGCAAGGGACGGCAGGGATAAGAGGGGCAAGGGACGGCAGGGATAAGAGGGGCAAGGGACGGCAGGGATAAGAGGGGCAAGGGACGGCAGGGATAAGAGGGGCAAGGGACGGCAGGGATAAGAGGGGCAAGGGACGGCAGGGATAAGAGGGGCAAGGGACGGCAGGGATAAGAGGGGCAAGGGACGGCAGGGATAAGAGGGGCAAGGGACGGCAGGGATAAGAGGGGCAAGGGACGGCAGGGATAAGAGGGGCAAGGGACGGCAGGGATAAGAGGGGCAAGGGACGGCAGGGATAAGAGGGGCAAGGGACGGCAGGGATAAGAGCGGCAAGGGACGGCAGGGATAAGAGCGGCAAGGGACGGCAGGGATAAGAGGGGCAAGGGACGGCAGGGATAAGAGGGGCAAGGGACGGCAGGGATAAGAGGGGCAAGGGACGGCAGGGATAAGAGGGGCAAGGGACGGCAGGGATAAGAGCGGCAAGGGACGGCAGGGATAAGAGCGGCAAGGGACGGCAGGGATAAGAGGGGCAAGGGACGGCAGGGATAAGAGCGGCAAGGGACGGCAGGGATAAGAGCGGCAAGGGACGGCAGGGATAAGAGCGGCAAGGGACGGCAGGGATAAGAGCGGCAAGGGACGGCAGGGATAAGAGGGGCAAGGGACGGCAGGGATAAGAGCGGCAAGGGACGGCAGGGATAAGAGCGGCAAGGGACGGCAGGGATAAGAGCGGCAAGGGACGGCAGGGATAAGAGCGGCAAGGGACGGCAGGGATAAGAGCGGCAAGGGACGGCAGGGATAAGAGGGGCAAGGGACGGCAGGGATAAGAGCGGCAAGGGACGGCAGGGATAAGAGCGGCAAGGGACGGCAGGGATAAGAGCGGCAAGGGACGGCAGGGATAAGAGCGGCAAGGGACGGCAGGGATAAGAGCGGCAAGGGACGGCAGGGATAAGAGCGGCAAGGGACGGCAGGGATAAGAGCGGCAAGGGACGGCAGGGATAAGAGCGGCAAGGGACGGCAGGGATAAGAGCGGCAAGGGACGGCAGGGATAAGAGCGGCAAGGGACGGCAGGGATAAGAGCGGCAAGGGACGGCAGGGATAAGAGCGGCAAGGGACGGCAGGGATAAGAGCGGCAAGGGACGGCAGGGATAAGAGCGGCAAGGGACGGCAGGGATAAGAGCGGCAAGGGAAGGCAGGGATAAGAGCGGCAAGGGACGGCAGGGATAAGAGCGGCAAGGGACGGCAGGGATAAGAGCGGCAAGGGACGGCAGGGATAAGAGCGGCAAGGGACGGCAGGGAGCGGCGAAACAACGACTGAACGGTTCGTTGGACCACAGCGTCGGTTTGCCTCCTTCCCCCCTCCCTCATGCCAAGAATCGGCGCCAATCAGCAGTCCGCATATTGCCGGCCAATCCGCCACCCCCCCCTATTCCCATCCCGCCATCCCCCGCCACCGTCCACATCTCTCCGCGCTCCCCTCAACACCCACCTGCCGATGCTGCGCCTCACGCGCGCCCCTGCCCCTTCCGCCTGCTCCCGCGACAGCAGCTTGCGCACGGCCTTCCGCGGCTGCTGAATCTCCGCCGCCGCCGCCGCCGCCGCCGCCGTCGTCGCAGCTGCCGCCGCACCCGCCGCTGAGACTGGAGCTGCGGCGGCGGCGGTGGCCATGGCGAGCGAGGGGAGAGCGAGGCGGCGAGAAAAGCTGCCGAGAAACGCGGACGTGGCGGGTGTGGCTCTAGGCGCTGGGGGA